TTAAGTGAATTTGAACATGGTCGTTGGTGCCAGGCTGCTCTAAATATTTCCAAAACTGCTAATCTAGTGGGATTTTCTAGACTTTACAGAGAATGGTCCAGAAAAGAGAAAATATCCAGTGAGTGGCAGTTCTTTGTGCAAAAATGCCTTGTGGATGCCAGAGATCAGTGGAAAATGGCAAGACTGCTTCAAGCTGATAGAAAGGCAATATTAGCCCAAACTTGTTACAACAAACGTAGATGCAGAAGAGTATCTCTGATTGAAAAAGCATAATGAACCTTTAAAGCATCAGGGGACCACACTGGGTGCCACATGTATTAGCCAAGTACAGGAAACTGAGGCTACAGTTATCAATGAGTCACAATAGATTGGACAATAGAAACATGAAAATGATGAGTCTCAGTTTCCGCTGCAACATTTAAATGATAAGGTCAAAAAGTGGGAGGCAGGATATTTATGCTTCTGCTCTACCACATTTTATAGCATTGTTATTATTACTATATTACATTTTTAATTTTAAAGCTATTTATTGTGGACAAAAATTTTTACTGATCACTAATAGTAATAATATTCCAGTAATATATACAGCACTTCTGCATGTTTGCATTAGGTAGCGGAATTATATTTGATGCTTATACTTTTGTGTTAGGTGAAGTTTTATATGCAAGACTTCTATCTGCTTTATTGACAGTGACAGACTATGTATTAGCCTGGGAATGAGATCTATATTAAAGCTGAGATTTGATTTGCTCTGGTTGAAATAAAATAAAACCACCCACTCTTACTGACACAGCACTGTAATCTTAATAGACACCAAACCCTGTTAGAATGAAATATGATTAAACCAAGAAGTTTCAGTGGTCAAAGACTGTGAATTAACAATAAAGTCAATAGGCAGAATCCCCGCTGTGGCCTTTTCTAAGAGGACATGTTCTCAGCGTGCTGTCACATGGATTTCCTCTGGGTGTTTTCCACAGACATTCAGGTCAGGACCTGACACTAAAAACTGCCAACAGGTACAAACATGAGCCTGAAAGATTGTCTGTCAATCTGTATAAGCCCTGTGAGGGACTGCTGACCTGTCCATGCTTTTATTTTTTCCTCCAGCCAAAAAAGGTAGAGGCGATGAGTAAACACACAGAGGCGCTGCTCCTGTGTTCTGGGTGTTCTCCACTGGGTGGCACAAAAGACTCAGCTGCCCTGAACACTTTGTAGAAATCCAAGCAATCCATAGTGTTTTACAGTCTCCGAGGAGAGCAAAGTGCAAAGATGTCCAGTCATGCGATCTAGAAGTGTACAGTCAAGGCTAAGCCCGTTTTCTCAACCTGGCAGCGAGATAGCAGCACCTCTGACAGTCTTAACAATGGACACATTGAGGGAAACTGTCGGGAGGAAATTTCCTCATATAGATAGCCACAGAAAGAGACACAAATCAACCATAGAAATATTTCTCAGACTAAACGCCAGCCAAGATTAGATTCTGTCATTTCAGGGTCTTTTGTGCAGCCATTTATCACGTGCACACACTGCATGGAAGCACAGGTGTGGGAATCGTCCAACATTTTTGCTGAATTAAGGTCTAAAATGTATCTGACCCACTGGAAATGTTGCTCATTGAAGGGGAACTGTATGCTTTAACATGCAAGCTGTGCAGTTTCGTACCAGTGCTTCTTTCACACCAGAATCAATTACTCACACATGACAGCTACATCGATTTTTTCTGACGCGTCTATGATTTCTACATCTTTCCCACTCACTGACACACAACGTGAACATAAAAGTCTGCAGTTAATACTCAACTCAGGCTGGTGTAAAACCAGTTTGTAAATATCTTAATATCGTAACTACTACATCAACAAAAATAATAACTTTAGTTGAATTAGTCTCAGTTCAATTCAGTTTTATTTATAATGCTGCCAAATCACAACACCTGCCTCAAGGTGCAGTCAAAAACCCCAAAAATCTTAGAGACCCCCTCAAGACCCCTTATGAGCAACTCCTTTGGCGATAGCTGGAAGGAAAAACTCCCCTTAAACAGGAAGAAACTGCCAGCAGAACTAGTTACAGGTAGTAGCAATAGGAGTAGGAGATTAATAATAACTACTGATTAAATGCAGAGTGGTATGTAAATATAAACAGTAGGTGGAATAAAGGTGAAAGAAGAAGAAACGCTCAGTGAATCATGGGATGAGGCCACCAACACATTTTAAATAGACTTCTGTGTCAGGCTGAATAGCACTGAATCGTACTGTACGTGTGTATTCTGTATGGATAAGATGGCACTCACAAAGGGTTTTCAGTAGATCCAACAGTGGAAGAAGAGGGAGGACAACAGACTCTGCAATATGAGAAGCACATAAATAAATCAGGTGTCTAACTTCCTGTATGACAGACAAAAATAAATTAAAAACCAAAACAACACAAACATGTTTCAGCCTTTATGTGTTTGAATGAGCTGTGCCGCCCATCAAGCGTGTTTACTAGTGAACCTTGGTGCATGCTAAGATGATGGAGTGATATCACAGAGCTTAATATCATGTAATAAATCCATTATATTCCATTAAAAATGCAACACATTGACCCACCTGCATGAATATTTCACCTGGTAATGTATTTATTGTGAGAACAGCTTGGGTCTGTGACCACATTACATTACTCCTGTAGAAGTGGCTGGGTAGACTTTGTGCAACACTCACCTGTGACACGCGATTCTGCTCTGAATTAGACCTTGTAATGCATGAAATAATACATGATGAATGAGTAGGAATTACATTTAAATGGATCTGTGTAAAAGTTCCTGTGAGGACATTATTATTTTTTCAGTGTTACAAGACCAGGCGTGCCACCAGAACTTGTTAGGATTTACTTGCAACTGCTGTAATCAACATGTTTATATCAAATCAGTCTATGGCTAACGGGAAAAATGTTGCTCGTAGTGAACTCACTCTTCTTCTCTGATGTAGCTTTACTGTTTAGGTTCACGCTCACTGCTGTATTAATCTGTTTTTATTGAAAGAGTTTTAAACCCCCACTATGCACCTGCAGGCACAGTGAAGGGCTGTCAGATTAATATAGAGTAACTCCAAGTCAATTCACATCTGCTACATGTCTAAATAGGAAATAAATTTGTAGCAACCTAACCAGAGATAACGCTGATTTACGCAGGCATTTTGTTGTAATTTCACGAATCACCCCTTCATACCATTGTGAAACATTGTAGTTGTTGGACTTCTGACCTCGCTGCAGAGATTTACCAGCATGTGTCAGTGTGTGTGAGGCCACGCTTCTGCAGTTTCGAGTGTGGCAAAGCACACGTCCGACCACACCTGTCAAATACAGACTTTCACTCAGACGGGGGGCTATGAAGGCCATGCGGCTTGTGCAGTTTGTTTCCTAATGTTTCTGCTTTTGCGACAGCGTGTCGGTTTTCCGCATTTTTATCCTGTGTAGGGCAGAGAAAGTTTTCGGTCCATTTACGGGGGAAACTGGATTAAACAAATGCAGACAATCCCTCTTTCATTAAAGTTTGACATTTCTCGTTGCTTTTGCAAACCCGCTTTTAAATCTTTTAACACACTGTTAAGGAAGAAAACATTATACCGTATATGACCTTATTTTTTTAGGCTGGTTTGATTCTTTTCAGTCCAACATATTCCTTGAGTGTCATTGTGGCTTTTGGTGATATGAAAGAATAATACGCTGTATAGTTCATAAAATATGACTTGAGGCTTGATGTGGTGGTTTTCAGCTGTCACTGCACTCAAGATAAGATCCCTCAGTGGTGAGAGTGTGATCAGTTTCGTCAGTCATCGTCACACCAAGAATTTCTGAGGCTAGTAGTTAATTTAGTCTGGCTTGATATTCAGTGGGGTGAATTGTATGTTTGCACAGACACCAATCGGCTGTTTTTGATAGGTACACGTGTTCAGTGGCTCATTAATCCAAATATCTAATCAGCTAAATACATGGCAGTAACTCAGTGGAGTTAGGCATGTTCAGGAGGACCTGAAGTTCAAAGCGAGCATCAGAATGGGAGGTAAATATGTGATTTAAGCAACTTTGAACATGACATAACCAGTGAGAATATCTTGTTTGGCATCAGAGAATGACCAGACTGCTTTGAATTGATAGGAAGGCAACAGTTATTCAAATAACTACTTGTTACAGCCAAGGTATGGACAAAAGCATGCCAGAATGCACAACATGCCAAACCTTGAAGCAGATGGGCTACAGCAACCCATCTTAGAAGAGGAAGCCTGTTCACTTGGGCTCAGCAAAATTAAACAACAAGACTGGAAAAATGTTTCCTTATATGATGAGTCTCAGTTCTAGCTATAATATTCAGAGGACAGGCTCAGCATCATTTAAACACCTGAGTATTGCCGCTGACCATCTATGACTACAGTGTACCCATCCTCTGATAGATGCTTTCAGGAACACACCATTGTCATTTAGCCCGGATCATCTCAAACTGTTTTCTTGAACATGAAAATGAGTTCACTGTACTCAAATGGCCTCCACAGTCACCAGATCTCAGTCCAACAGAGCACCGCTGGGAAGTGGTGGAACAGGAAACTCACATCCTGGATGTGGAGCTGAAAAATCTGCAGCATCTATGTCAAAATGGACTAAAATCTCTGTCTCCTCGTTGAATCTGTGCTGTGAAGAATTAAGGCAGTTCTGGGTCCAACCTGGTACCAGTGAGGTGCTGAAAGAAGGCCTGTCCTTACCCATAAGCCACAGAATAATACAACACCATAAAAATAAAGCAGTAAATACACACAACATTTTTGGCATGTGGAGAATTTCTGAGAATTACTTCCAGTTGCAACAGTTACAACAGCGGTTATTATTTAACGTATTAGAGTATGAGTGGAGTCTCTGGGCGTAGAAAACTGTAAGGTGCAGCACTGATTGGTGTGCGTCCTAAGACGAGCTGCTTAAAGTTTGGAAACAGTGCGTAACCGTTGCTGACAGGGGGCGGCACCGAGCAGTTCCAGCAGGTGAAAAAAGCGCCTACAGTTTACTGTGGGATCAGGACAAAAAGGAGCGACACACTTCAGCACAGACGTGCGGCAGAAGTAATCCCTCCATAAAGCGGACTCAGCACAGCAGCAGAGAAACAGACGGAAGTGGAACAGTTTGAATGTTTTCTTCTCTCCTGACATCCGTGGAGCGCAGGAGCGGGGGAGACGCCGGTGCGCTCCGCGATGTCAGCCGCTGTTAATGATAGGGATGGGAAGAGGAGAGGGTGCTTCGTTTGCAGACGTCGCCTCGCATGTTTGTGTAACGGACAATTAATTGTTACCTGAAGATAACTGGGCAGCACTTGTGGAAAGGGAAGTGCGAGGAGTGTTTTGGTGCCAGCTTTAGAAAAGCTGCTGGGAGCAGCCGGTGGATGTGGCACCATGGGGATAAAGACAAGACTCCAAGCCATGCTGATGTTACTGTGGATCATTCAAGGTAGGGTAATTAATCCACTCACGCTCCCTAAACCTCACAGCATGTCAGTGGCGACAAAACTATGTTTTTCTTCACTTTTATAAACATCGGAGAGCAAATAACCAACTTATCACTGATGGAAGAATTTGCTTTAATATTGAATTGTCAATGAATTAAGCAAAGAGTCAAACTCCATTGAATAAAATACTTTTTTAACTGAACATGCACGACCTCTATACACTTCTGCCTCGAAGCCGAGTGGGATTTAAAGGCGTTTATTCATTGCTCAGATTCAGACTTATTGGCAGTAACAAACAGCGAATAACCTGCTTCAGTCCTAATTACGCGTCTTGGAAAGCTGAAACCTCTTTCCCCCTCCTACCTTAAGTTAAATTTTGAATTTAGAAGCAGGGACTTTTCATTAAATATGTAATTTATATCGCTGTGGCTGCAACTGCTTATGTGTGTGTGCGTGTGCGTGTGTGTGTGTGTGTGTGTGAGTGAGTGTGTGTGTTTTTATACCAGAGGTTCCCTTTTAAGCACACAGCAGAGTACTCCTCATTTTAAGAGGGCATAATGTTGTTGCATGGTTGAATGCTCAGAAATGAATTTCAAGGAACTCAAACGTTGCTGCCTTTTTTCTCTCCCCCCATCGTTATTGTCCCCTGTGAGGTTAAAAATAACATAAAAGCTTGAGTCTACCTGAAGGAGCCGGATGTCATTTTTGAGAATTCTAGTCAGAGAAATCCCAGCTGTCAAATTAAGAAGGCTTACCTAAGAATACTGGTCATACAGGTTTAATGTCCTGCACAGTTTGGCCCCTGTTACTGCTTTGTGTGCATGCAGTTAATGCGCAAACGTTTAAATAAATTATAGATAGTGACTGACAGACTGAAGCATTGCAAATATAAATGTTAATGCTCTTTGAACAGCAATTTGATGCAGACAAGTTTAAATCATATTTAGCTTTTATCAGTTTGGACTGCAGTCATTTCATTTAGCTCTAAACCCTAGAGCCAAAACAAGCACAAACACACACACACACACACACACACACACTGATGTGCTAAAATATTATTAATTTCCTTCTGTGAATACACACTCCAATACACCATCCAGGCTCTACTCCAAAACACCCTTTAGGTTTTTCTGACTTGGCCGATCTTATTCCTGTCAACCGTGCCGCTGCATCATTTCCTACCAGATGTTGGCTTTCTCCCAGTGTGGAAATCAGAGATTGTTACAGCTTGTCTCCTTTATGTCAGGATTTGTTTGGTTCAAACTGGGGGTTTTGACTTAAAAGCAGCATCAGGAAAGACAATACTGGAACTTTATATCAATCTTAACTTACATTCACTGCTGTAATCGCTTAATAAAAACATCAGTGTTGTTCTCAAGCAGTTAGAGGACACCTGAGTTCAAATCTGTGTGGGCTTCTGCATTGGAGCTGCTGTAGCGTGACATTACGTCTGCCGCGCTTTGATTTGTGCAACTGCTTTTAATGGGATGAAATGAATGAATTCAGTTTGTGCCTCGCTGATGAGAGACTTCAACCGCTTCTTGTTCTGATGATCAAATAGCTTTTTGGATTTGATCGATGGATTCCTTTTTACGTCTTGGACAGCAGCTAAGCAGCCTGTCAAACCCGTCCTGCCTGTCAGGAAAACGTCTGCCCGTCCTGACTTTAGAAGAGCAGAGAAGACTCTGTTTGTATTGATGAAATGCAGCAGCTTTATTGGCCTTGCATGAGTAGCTAATTGGTCACTAAACGCTTAAATAAATCTGTTAATATGCTTCCTTTGGGCACCCATTTTATTTTTGATGATTTGAGGCAGATTCTGAACAATCGTTTGTACCCATTAGCAGCAGTAAATCACATCTTGGTTGTACCATTCGGTGTATTCGTGCAGAAATGCACTACTCTTGCCCATTAGATATTTCAGATTGGCCTGAGGACCGTGACAAGGTGACTTGACGTGGCACCATCGCTCCCTTCTAATTTGAATGTCTTTCTCTTTGGTTTTGCTATTAAAAGAAAGTCATGTCCTCAGCCGATTGTCTTCACTGACGTTTGGTTTATGTCGTTGGTGTAAGCTGATGATTGCGAGCCAGTTATATCCCTTTTCAGAGACTAACTCCCAGAGCTTAGCGTAATTCTGATTATGTATTGCATGATTAACTAAACAAGAAATTAGTCAGTTGTGGTCCAGCTTGGAACAAACAGCATTCCTGGCAAGGCTGCTGCATGAGTATTAACTGTCAGTGCAAAGATTTGGAAGCCCTCAGAGACCACCGCAGAATGGCAAAGAAGTGTCTCAGTCTTCTTGATGTCAAAGTCAAAGCACTTGTAGATATCAGGGTGTTTGTGTCACTCCCAGCAGGAAACTCATATGAAAGTGAAGACTTCAAGAACTGTTGAGCTTATTCATTTAACATGTCAATTATCTTGTGAACAAAACGCAGTCATGTTTGGTTCTTTTTAAGCAGTTCAGAAAGCCAAAGCATCACATACACATAGAATTGTTGTTGTCGGTTCATCATTGCAGGAAAAACGTAAGCCCAATATCCCCTCATAGTTTACCACACTGTAGAAGCAGGAAATAAACAATATGCAAGAATGGGACTGCATCAGGCATTAGTAGTCAGTACCACAATACCAGTCGAGTTACACAATTGTTGATGCCTAATTTGATACACAGATTGCCGAATGCGTGCAAATGATCTCAGACTAAGTTATAAACACAGACAGACTGCCAACTCTTTGGAGTCTGTGCCGATAGCACAACTCGCCTGCAGCGCTACTCTTTATAGTAAGACACTCAACTCAGCTGGTTGCATTTGGTTTTCCTAAATAAAGGCACGGTTGCTGAGTGTCTATGTCCTTTAGCAACATCACTATTGTGAAGGTTCCATTTAGATTCAGAATGGTAAGTAGTTACTGTGAATTTCTGTGTAAACAGCAGCAAATATGTGATTTCCCCCCCAATTTTTTACAGTTAGTTACTGTATTATTATAAACAGATTGCCTGAAATTGCCAGCTTGACCCCATTCAGTCAGACTGTTGGTAGACATGATATGATAGCAGTCACTCTAAACACAACAACTGTGAGTTGCAGTCATCAAAGAAACCGTTTCAAAAGATTAAAAGTTCATACCACATGGTCACAATGATTTTGGTCGTGCTGCAGATCAAAATCATATTATTCAAGTAGAATCATTTTTATTGCCAGTACTGCTGAAATGTTTGTAAGGAAGGTTTGTCGTTCACAGCCCATGGCCACCATGTTGAAGGCCCACACTATCAAACAGGAAACGGGGGATTCCAAATTGTTTTATAAGGGGGGATTTTGGAGTGTGCCAAAAACAGAGGGGAGATTAGCACTGTTTGCAGTAGTTTTCAAATCTCTTTTAAGCATCGTGAGTAAACTTGATTTTGTCTTTCTGCTTAGAAACCCTATCAATGGAAAGCAATGGATACAACATATTTCAAAAGGCTTTCACTTTGAAGATGAACAGTCTTCAGTTTGTGTTGCACTTTCCACAGTTTCGCTACAGCTGTGAGAGTGGCTGGACTGGACAGTGTTTGTAGACATGCAGTCAAACTATGTCAGCAGCAATATGCTAGCGACGAAAGAAATCACAAGGTTTTTGCCATCTGGTTGGGAAAGATGTTTTTCCCTAGTGACGGGTGGTTGCCAGCAGGTCACTGACCAGCCTGTAGGCCTGTGTGATTGGATTTTTAGCAATTATTTTTCCTTGCAACTGCCATCGAACTCCAGCAACCACTTGCAATCAGTCTGGCAGTACTAATTTTACCCTTAGAGCTGGTAGTTTTCACATGGTCAGATGGTCATAGATCAGTGTCCAGACATGTGCGACAGGTGCCTTATTCACTTTACTCTACATTGTCTTTACGATTGTCACACATTCAAAATGGCAGACAAGTTAATGCCATGTGGATAGTAGTCATGTGTCTGCAAAATCTCACTGCACCACAAAAGATCATTCCTGCCTCCGAGTGTGCTTCTTCCATCACAGACTCTTAGAAATACACTGTGTTCCAAAGAGATATGCTGAGCAATGGCATTTACTCCTTACCTCATTCATACTGTTGTTTAGCATTTAAAAATCAATGCCATGTTAGGAGAATTAAAAACTTGGTTTTCATTTGAAGGGGTCTTTAAATTTTGTGAGTTTCTTTTTTTAATAGGAAATTCTTTTTTTTCCAGGCTTTTTGCTGGAAACATTACATTTGAATGCATTTGCAATCATGCCTCGTCGTCAGCTCCTCAGAAAACATCCGGATGCCGTGCATCTTCGGAGCCGCTTCATTGAACCAAATTGATCTTTTCTGGCTCAAACTGGTAAATTGGCACCAGTTTCATGCACAGTTACATTTGTTAGGCTGACACATACCTTAGTGTGGGCGTTGGATGAGGAAGCCTAATTGACCAGAGTCCACTCTGTATAGCACAAACTCACAGAAAGACCCCTGCAGTGGGGAGAGACACTGATTGGAGGCAGAAGGAGCCAAAGCTACCTAAAGAATTCTCTCATGTAAAACTAGGTCAAATTAATTGGCTCACGCTTGCCAAACAATAAAGAGGACAGTGGTGAGCAGTGTTTTATGTTGCTGCACGCAACAGCTGCTGCATGTTGGACTTCATACCGACATGGATCTATCAAAACATCCAAGTTCCCTCTGTCGACAGTTGCAGTAGTGGAGGTTGACAGGTGTTGATTGGAGCTTTGCGTGCTGGATCACTGAGCTAATGTGACTTTGAGGCAGGTCATCAAAGCAGTCTGAATTTGCTTTGAGTTAACCATGATGGATGTGGAACTTTGAAAACACTGATGCGGAACAGATTTTTGCACCCGGTAACAGACCAGAAAGCCTCATCCTGGTGCAAAAATAGTTGTTTATATAATGCTTGCAGTGGTTTCTTACAGTTTGCTGGTTGTGTTTGCGCTGCTGTAATGAAACTAATGTCACATTTTAGCCATGCACATTTTAGCTGAT